AAAAAAAAAAAAAAAAAAGTACTAAGGGAAAAGCTGCAGCAAATTATCCCAATGATATCTCTAAGATCACTGATGAAAGTAGCTACACTAAATAAGAGACTTTCAATGTAGGTGAACAATCTTATATTGGAAGAAGAGACTATCTAGAACTTTCATAGCTGGAAAAAAGAAGTTAATGCCTGGTTGCAAAGGACAGGCTAACTCTCTTTTGTTTGCAGATAGAGTCTCACTATTGCCCTGGGTAGACTGCCATGGCGTTATAGCTCACAGCAACCTTAAGACTCCTGGGTTCAAACGATCCTCTTGCCTCAGCCTCTCAAGTACAGGCTTCTAACACAATGCCCACCCAGATTTTTTTCTATTTTTACAAGAGACAGGATCTTGCTCCTACTTAGACTGGGCCACTGGTCTCCAACTTCTGAGGTCAAGCAATCCAACACATCTCAGTCTCCCAGAGTGGTAGGATTATAGGTGTGAGCCACCATGCCCAGCCTAGGCCAATTCTCTTATTAAGAGCTAATGTAGGCTCGGTGCCTAAACTGCATGCAATATGATAAACAACATATTGACATTATTATTAGTGAAGCATCACAGGAATGGAGAAGTAAGAATCCTATGTATTCAACTTTGATATGATGACAATTAATGATAATTAATGACATGGTGGGGCATGGGGGAAAGGGAGATCAGACTGAGAAGGAGCGAAGGGATGTGGGGAAAAAATATATATATATAAAAATAATAGTGTTTAATTCTCACACAAACTGGATTTAATTTTGATTAACGTATATTACTTAAATATCAATTTTTAATCCAACATGTCAATATGTTGTTTAGAAAAGGACTTTTTGAAGCTACTGAGAAAATTTGAATATAAACAGCTACTAGATGATAGTAAAATTTTACTATGAATTCTCTTAGCTGTAATAATGGCACGTTACTTTCAAAAATATAAGCTGCCCTTTTCTGTTCGAGACAAGTAAACTATTTGCAGGTGAAATGACATAGCCGGGATTTGATTTTAAAATAACTACACCAGAAAATAAGAACTAAAAAAATTACAAAGGGGAATGACAGATTAAAAAAATTGGCAAAGTGTTAATCACTCTTTTTTTTTTTTTGAGACAAATTCTCGCTATATCACCCTTGGTAGAGTGTCATGGCATCACAGCTCACAGCAACCTCCAACTCTTGGGCTTAAGTGATTCTCTTGCCTCAGCCTCCCAACCACAGGCACCCACCACAACACCCAGCTATTTTTTGTTGTAGTTGTTATTGTTGGTTAGGCCTGTTCAGGCCTGGTTCAAACTCACCAACTTCAGTGTATGTAGCTGGTGCCCTAAACACTGTGCTATGGGAGCTGAGCCTTCAGCACTGTTTCTATGTGATATAAAAAGCAAGGGAGTATTTTATTACCATGTGGCTTGGAGATTTCTTTCTTTTTTTTTTTTTTTGCAGTTTTGGCCAGGGCTGGCTGTGAACCTGCCACCTCTGACATATAGAGCCAGCATCCTACTCCTTTGAGCCATAGGCGCTGCCCAATTTATTTGTTCCTTAAAAATCAACCATGTTAGCTAGGACTAGACTCCTTAGACTCTATCAATGGAAAAGTAACATTAAAAAATGCTTTGGGGGCTCGGCGCCTGTGGCTCAAGTGGCTAAGGCGCCAGCCACATACACCTAAGGTGGCAGGTTCAAATCCAGCCCAGGCCCGCCAAACAACAATGACAGCTGCAACCAAAAAATAGCCAGGCATTGTGGCGGGCACCTGTGGTCCCAGCTACTTGGGAGGCTGAGGCAGGAGACTCGCTTGAGCCCAGGAGTTGGAGGTTGCTGTGAGCTGTAATGCCACAGCACTCTACCCAGGGGGACAGCTTGAGGCTCTGTCTAAAAAAAAAAAGAATTTCTTTGGGCTGATTTACATAGACATTTGTCAGTGACCTGTGTTCCTGAGCTATGAATATGAGTGATAAATAAACTATTAATAAATTAAAAAAAATTAAGCTAAATTTAGTCTGCTTGTGCTCTAAAAATGGAACAAAGCCTAGATGATAACATACCTATTTATAGCAAGTTTTACTGAATATGCACATACACACACATACACACATATATATAGTTTTGGGGGGGTTCTTTTGAGACAAAGTCTTACTTTGTAGCCCCCGGTAGAGTGCCATGGGGTCACAGCTCGCAGCAACCTCAGATGATCACTCAAGCGATTCTCCTGCCTCAGCATCCAAGTGGCTGGGATTACAGGGGCTCCCCACAGGGCCCAGCTATTTTTAGAAGTGGGGTCTCACTCTAGCTCAGGCTGGTCTCAAACTCCTGAGCTTAGGCAATCCACCTGC